AACTTACCAGGAAAAGAAGCACTCTCCTCAATGTCGTCTTCACTCAACACTGCAAGAACATGTCACGTGACTTGAATTCCAAGAGTTACTTGTGCCTACGCATGCGTCAGGATCCCGCGCTCTCGCGTGCATTTTCTTCATTTGTACTTTATATATATCAAATAAAGCTAATTGCATATAATTTTTTCAGGTGACAAACACGGTGATAATACAGCCAGTGATAAAAACGATGCTAAATCTACTGAGGATAGCTCTGAACAACAAACTACTTCTCCCGAGGTGAGTTTGATGATAATGAAAAGTTGAACTCATTTTTACACTCACGTTCGTGTAATATTCATCGCCGCGCGCGATTTCTGCGTTGTTTTTGCGTTGTTTTCTTATTTTCCTGTCATTTATTGACATGCTACTTCGCTATAATGTTTTGAGTTGTATCTGGAAACAACTAATCAAACTCTTAAACTTCTATAAGCTTTTCATCTTCATTTGCTCTGTTTTGTAGACGACGTTGAATTCAAGCTGGCTCACWGACAATAAAGACATCAATCTTGACTCTGCTGTAGGGCTAACATTGGATCAACTGCGTCATATTTACCACTTGAAAGTAGCTCACTTTAAACAAGAAGCTGAAGCAGCCATCATGAGCGCTAAGCTTGTGACAGATAAACTTGCCGCAGAAACAACCGCAAGGACGGAAGCACAGGTCTGTGAAATATCATATATATGTTTTGGCAATCTCTTTGCAACGGAAGCTGTAACAGGCACAGTGACGCTTTCTAGAAACAATTGTTGCCCGCCATTATGGAGTGTATGGAAACTATTGCGTTTTTCGTTTGGTCCATTTGTCTCCATCTTGTTTTTTTTCAACTTCAAGTGCGCATGCTTTCTGGTATGGTGGTTTGGCCGCTTATGAACCAGAAATTGAATATAAAGCAAAAGTTATTAGTACGGCCATGAACAACCAACGAAGAGAAACTTCAAAAACACACTTTAAAATATGCAACCATAGCTAGTCTCCCTCTACTAACTATGATGCAACGAAGATAAATCAAACAAACTTAGCTAGTTACTATATTAAACTATCAAGCATTTATGTCAACAGAGACAACTGGAAGCTGTTTTGAAACAAAACAAGGAACTTATTTCTACTGTGCAACAACTCGTCGCACAGGTTCACGCTCTCCATTCACAACGACACACTCTTTCTACGTCACATGGTTTACGACTCAGTTCCAGTACCTCATCGTCCATGTCATCGACTCCGACTTTGACACCGAAGCACTTGCCTTCAGGTAAGACATGCCGACGAAACGAGTTCTTTTACTTACAATARTCTCCTYCACGKTTACGTGCGCCATATTGAAAGGTAGCCGTGCCTTTACCTCGAAGAGAGACAACCGTTGAGCRTGCAATGATAGATACCTGTGAATAATTGTTTGTAGGTGTGAAAGAAGGTTTCTATCATTGTACGCTCAAMKGTYGTCTCGCTTCGATGCAAAGGYRYSG